TCCATCCATCCATCCATCCATCCATCCGGTCTGTATTTTATTCCTTTATCATATCCTTGAGCAGGAGATTGGTGGTCTTAGGCCCCAGGGCTCCAGTAGTAGACACTGAGGTAAATTCTATGTTGGAACTGGGCAGACCTCTTCTTATGTCTGACTTGGGAATGAGCTAATTTTCTTAGAAGGTGAGCTGGATTTGAGCTTGTCCCAAAAATCAATACCTTGTGACAGTTTCAGCTTTTGGGTCCTTGTCAAGGACGTGCTTGGTTTTAACAGCTCTCTCACTCAGAGAAGCCCAAAACTATCAAATCCCACTAAGTATTTATAGTTCTTCCTAGTTCAGACTCAGCTTACCTAATATACATTATTTTATCAAATTACCATTTATCATAGCAAGGTTGCTGGATGGCATTGCTAACATGCCACCTTCATTAGCTTTCCAGGGAACTGAGCTAGAAACCATTTAATTTCAGTTTCTTTTTTGTTTTTGAGACAGTGTTAAATTCAGAACAAGACAGGGTTGCCCAGACTGGCGTCAAACTCACAATTCTCCCACCTCAGATCCTGAAGTAACTGATGTTAAAAGTATACACCACTGTGAAATGGTCTTATTACACTTTTGCTGATAAGCATCATGAATCTTAAACTCAGTGTTTTACTTTCAAAAAAACAGTACTAGAAGCAAACAGAAATGAAGATGGTCAAATTCTCTTTCTTTCTTTCTTTCTTTCTTTCTTTCTTTCTTTCTTTCTTTCTTTCTTTCTTTCTTTCTTTCTTTCTTTCTTTTGCCGAACCGGGGATTGAACTCAGGCCCTTGCACTTGCCAGGGAAGCACTTATTCCACTGAGCGATCTCTCCAACCCCCAAGATGGACAAATTCTTAAACAGCATGAAGTAGCTTTTTTAGAAATAAGTAAAAAGTCTAAAAGATGCCTTCATAGATAAAAAGAATTTCTGCTTTACATTTGCCTTAGTTACTTTTCTTGTTGTCGAGACAAAATATCCAATATCCTGGGTTAAAGGAGCAAAGATTTATTTAGCTCACACTTGTCGAGGTGTCAGCCCACTTATCAGCTGGCTCCAAGGTAGGGTGGCATGGTGAGGAGAACACTCAGGGCAGGCAGAAAGTAGCAAAGCAACAAGATGGGAGGTAAGACTCCTTCTGTCCCTTATATTATATGCAGGCTAACTGCCCTAGATTGGGTGTAGTATTCACAATTTTAATCCTAGCCAGAATGCTGCCAAAACAATCATAGACTGATTACTAATTACACACTCTAATCTCAGCATTGGACACTCTAGATTCAGCCACCTCTGATAAAGCTCTACAACTGCATGAGGCTTTGGGGGGACATCTAGATACAAACCATAACATTATAATCCTTAAGATTGTTATTAGGCACAAACTGCTAAAAAGGGATAAAGGCTCTGCCTAAACTCTGAAGTTTCTTTGAGAGCTAGGATCAGAGCAGCTCTCTAATCCCTAATCCCTGATGTTTCTACATTGTCAAGCATCTTACCAAAGCACATATTAATTCTTGAATTATAAACCATAATCTATTCAGTCATGAAAGATCATGTGACTTATCAAAGAAAAAGAGGTAACCTGTGTTGGATACCCTTGGGTAGTAATTTGTTGCATGGTCTCATTAACATTAACAACTCTCAATTTGGGAAGGAGGGTATTGGGCTTGAACCCAAGGTCTCAGGCATGCTAGACAAGCAAGTACTCTACCACTGACAGACCTCCCTAACTCTGTATTTCTTAATTTTAAAAGAGACACTTATAGCAATTAAACCTTCAGTTAACATGAACATGGAGCCAGAAAAGAAAAATGAGAAGCAGCTTGAGCATGTTCTCATACATCCTAGCATTAAAAGCCTACATCAGAGTACCGTTCACAATAGTGAGAACTTAAAAACCTGCCTAACAGCATCAAGTCTCAAACGAAGAACTAAACATGATGATAGGAAATGGTGCCGCTACATCATCTTGACTGTACTGATGGCAATTGTACCCAAATGGCTACTATTGTTAATGATACTTACTTGAGGCTGAATGCTATAAGCTTAGGAAAATGAAGAAAGTGTACCTAGCAAAATATTCTGCTATAGTTACAACCCTGAATATACTGTAAAGCCAGTGAACACACAACTATGAATTAACCTGACAGCAAAGAGTTTTAATTTTTATTTCTGTTTATCAGTAATCAATATACAGTAATGATAGGGAGCAGACAACTGATCAGGTTTGCAATAGTATAATCATAGTTGTGAAGACTCCACAGGATTCAGCAGTAGATGCACCCTTTGTGTCCAATATTGAATGCCAGCCCAGGTGAAGCCTGAAGTTGACTTAATTCAGGATCTAACAACTACACAAGACTCTGCTAGGATGAACAAAAGATTTACTTACTTTGGCAAACTCTTCTACAAGAACAGATAAAATTTTAAAAAATATTTTAAAAATCTATATTTCTAAATGTGTAAGAACTGATAGTATAATTCAATGGTACAGTGCTTGCCTAGATGTGTAAGGCCCTGAATTCAATCCCTAGCACTGAAAACAAACAAACAAACAAACAAACACCAAAAAACAAATCAGGAAAACTTCAAATGTTTTTAGCATGAAGAAATGATAGTCAGGTATAGTGTTGCATGCCTGTAATCCCAGCACTTGGGAGGCTGAGGCAAGAGGACTGTCACTAGTTTGGGGTAAGCCTGGGTTACACAATGAGTTCAAGGCTAGCCTGAACTACATAGTGAGACCCTGTCTAAAAACCCAACAAAAACAGAAATGATAAATGTTTAAGGTGATCAATATGCAAATTACTCAAATTTGTTTACTATATATTATAGACACACTGAAATATAACACTGTACCATATAAATTTGTACCATTATTTTGTATTAATTTTTAAAAATATATTTCATACAGGGTCTACAGGATCTCACTACATGGATTGGACTAGTAGTGATCCTTCTGTTTTCAGCCTCTCAAGCACTGGGATTGTAGACACACCACCACACCCTGTCTCATTCACCCTCTCAGCAGGCCCTGGGGGCGGGGCTGGCACAGCACACTGGGGATTGAACTCTGTCCCTGCCCCGCATCTGCCAAAGCAGATGCTTTATCTGCTCAGCTATCTGGCTGGCCCCCTATTGTGTATTAATTTTAAAAACATCTCAGATCACCCTTTTTCCAGAAAGCTAATATTGTGTATGTTCCATCAAGAAGAAGCAATAAACTAATAAAGAGAAAGATGCAGAAGCTGGGTTCAACCAAAGCTGAGAAGTACAATATTCCCAGGAAGCCACTGCAGTCCAACAAGAGAAACAGGGCCCAGTGACTGGCAGGAGACAGGTTCCCAAGGAGCAGACTGTGCACGGATCTGTTTTACCATTTTGAGAGTTTTAGTTTTGTCAGAAAATGTGCAGCTGGGTGAGTGACTGGACATCTGCATTACATGACCAGTAACTCCAGAATGTCCAGAGCAACAGGATAATGAAGTACAGCATGATAAGAAACAGAGAAATAACTAGAAAAACTGACAAAAATTTAAAAAGGCACTTCATAAAAGAGGAAATCCACATAACCAATAAATGTACAAAATACACTCATCCTCATTTATAATCAACATATCACAAGTGAAACTAAAAGCCATTAGTTATAACATTGGCAAAATTAGAATATAAAGCAACAATAATTCTCCTATACCACGGGTTACAGTGGAAAATGGCAGTACTTGAAGGGAAACACTATGGTATGATACACATCACTTAATTTTGATTACTAAGCAGACACCCAAGAGAAAGGCATGTACATATGTTTATTATCCAACTCATATTTATGCTTGTGTGGCAAATTATGAAGTATTTTCTTAAATGTGAATAACACAGAACAGGCTGTAGGCTGTTCAGTTTATTCTGGTCTCTCAACATTGTGAATCACATTAACTATTCAAAAAATGTTCATGGAATCAAATTGATTTGTAAAACACTATTACAGCAACTGAAAATTTAACAAAAATCTTTTTGGAAAGGTCAGGAAGCAAAATTTCATAGAACTGTAAGACTCTTTCAACTACACTAGTAATTAGAGAAATTAAAATAATGAATTATCTTTTTTACAATAAAAGACAAGTATTAAAATAATTTTAATACTTAAAGTTGCAAAAACAGTGAGACAAATCTTCCTATAGGTAACCGTGGAAACACAGAATTACATACAGATGCAAAACTGTACGGTGTACTTGGAATGCAATTTGGCAGACTGCTGAATTTTGAAAACAGAGATCCTCTGCTGTTAAGAACCAGTAAGATTCTAGTTTTAAAGCTATACCAAAACATTATTTAAATATGCAAAATAAAATTTACAAATGTCTCAATTATGAACTGATATGAAACACTAGAAATAATTAAAATTAGTAACAATGGGATAATGCTTAAATATACTATGTTTACAATGTTATAGGAGATTTATAACATAGGCCAGATAGAAATTAAACAATGAGACTTTCAGAAAATTAATGATGCACAGAAAAATAATGATGATCTAAGTGTTAAGCAGAAAATTTAGAACTGTATAAAATAAAGTATGATCTCAATTCTGTTGAACCTGTGTTTATAGAATGAAACAATTGTTACAACAAAGTGCATTGCAAATATAATGCTGAAAGAAGGGACTTTTGTACATGTTCTAGGAAAGTTTGTTGAATATTTCCTGGTATAGTACTTTTTTTAAACATATTTGGCACAGGGTCTCACTACACAGCTTGGACTTACAGTGATCATCCTGCTTTGAGCCTCCCCACTGCTGGGATTACAGGCATGGGCCACCATGCCTGGACTTGGTGGCCAGCTCAGAGTATCTGGCATGTGGTGTGGGAGATTGAACCCTGGTCCCTGTGCTTGTTTAAGCAGGCATGTAGTCAGCTGAGTTATCTAGCTGGCTCTGGTTAAGTACTTTACAAGGTATTGTAAGTAGTTCCATTTATACTTACCAGATCAATATTTTGCATTATATCCTCAAATGAAGGATGAGTTCGAAACTGTTCAAAGAGATCCCGTTTGTAGAGCAGTGCATACACCAAGTTTGGGTTGTGGTGGAGAGAATTTGTCAGGCAGGAATTGATAATTTCCAACATCATTCGAATCACTTCTTCAATAACGTTGAGATCCTGTGCCTTAAAAAAGGAAGGAAATTCCAACAGACTCAGTGTTTTTCTCCTTGCTACAGAAGTAACCAAAACAAGAGTAACTGCTTTCCAACAATATTGAAAAAAAAATCATACACAAGTATCCTTCAATATTATTTCTCTGAAGAATCTTTAAAGCTAGTTTTATCAGTTTCTAAAGGATTTGAGTTGAAAAGTTGTTTGAACTCAGTATGATGCTAGTTAAAAATCTCACATAATAAATCAGATTTACCAATCAGGGGAACATTTGGAACTTAGCTCCTCATTGACACACCTCTGTTTGCGTGCTTACCCTAAATCACTAAACTTTCACAATTTAAGGTTGTGGTGGTACAGGCTTAGTAGTTCCCAGACAAATAATTCAGAAAATGACTTCAGTTCTGTATACTGTCATCTCAATCTTTGTATTTACAGATAAATAGCCTATGTTTTTTTCACAGTTTCAAATTCTTACCTTTGCGAATCTGAGCACAAAATGATTGTCAAAGCAAAATGCAAAGCATTCAGCAACCATTTCAAAGGCATCAGTGAAAAAAAGTTTCAATTAAACATTTTCTAATCCATCTCCCAATTTCTGTCAGGGCACTTGGGTATAGTGTGCTGCCTCTCATCTGGGGCTCACACCCTGTGAGTAGCTGAGCTCCCAGTCATTTCTGTTTCCTGCTCAGCAGGCTCAGTGGCAGTCTGCTCCTTGCCCTGACTGCTTATTCTGTTTCTTGTCCATTAAGAAATACTGATCTCTCTTTGGGTGTGCCTATATGTGTAAAACGTTTTCTTGTTATGGGTTCATCTACTACTATCATGTTTTTAGAATAAAAGGGAGGAGATCAGTCTTCAAATCTTTAACTTACAGAATACCCTCAACCAGTAGTTTTCTCACCCTATCTATCTATCTATCTATCTATCTATCTATCTATCTCACTTGATATTTGTTATGGTCTATGTCTAGATGTCACCAAAAGCCTCACGTGTCATAGAAAGGGTTTTTGGGAATGACTGGATTGTAGGTGTGATACTCATTGGCTTAGCAGAGTTGTGGGAGGGGGTGGCACCAACCAATAGGCTTGTACTCTGGGTGGAATGAAAAGGAAAAGAAGCGAGCTGTACAGCTTTCTACCTGCCATTTGATGAACTCTTTTCTGCTCTGTCCTGACCCTCTGCTGTGGAACCAGCCAATTATGAATTGAAACCTCTACAAACTGTGAGTTAAGACAAACCTTTCCTTCTTTAATTTGTAAGTTTATTTTGCCCTAGCAACGAGAAAGTAATGAAGATAGTGTTTAATTACTAGAGAAGGAAGATACTTCAGAGTTTCAGAATTTTCTTTCAAGTCATATACGATCAACTCGGTGGGAAGTAGGAATACTGAAAAAAAGCCAAAATACTATCTTTCTGTACAACTTATGTTAATATTTCATACACTTGTTTATGTTAAATCCTGATATATTAAATTTTACTTTTGAAATTATATATCTGCTGATAGCCTACAATCTCTGCTTTTAAACGTACTGAGTTCATTACCAATGTTTAAATAATTGGCTGAAACAAACAAGGTAATACACCTAACTCTCAAAGATGACCTGCTCATTTAAACCCAAGCTAGAATACTGATCGTTTATCTTATTCTAAGTCAGAAATGCATAAACTAGAACGTTTAAATCAATAATCATGCTTTGTATTAGTTTTTACTTTGCATCAATTGGACTAAAAGCTGCTTAAGCATTATAACTTTTAGGGCAGGGGAGATAGCTCAGTGGCTTAAGCAACTACCTGAGAGTGAAAATCCTGAGTTTGATCTTTGGTATCAAAAAAAAAAAAGAGGGGGCTGGGGAGATGGCTCAGTGGAATAAGTGCTTCCCTGGCAAGCGCAAGGGCCTGAGTTCAATCCCCAGTTCCGCAAAAAA